ACTTTTCTCCCCTTTCATCACACTGCTTAGCATTCACTCACTCAAATACAACTAAAATAAACCAAGATCCCCCTCAGGATGTGTGTCTGTGTGTATGCTGAGTTGTGTCCAAGTCTTTGGGGACCCATGGACTGTAGCCCACCAGGCTCAGGCAAGAATACTGGAGTGCGTTGCCATTTCCTACTCCAGAGGATCTTCCCAACTCAAGGACTGAAACTGCAATTCTTGCATATCCTACACTGGCAGGATTCTTTACCACTAGCACCACCTGAGTATACCATAGCAAATAAGCTACTTCATTTAATCCTCCAAATAAGGGAGGCAGTTTACTTACTATTAATATCCTTAGTCTGCAAATGAGGAGACTGAAACAAGAGTCAGTGATTCCTGGCACCCCCACAGGAGGTAGAAAAGTCCTGCCTTCCAGTTCTGAAGAAACCAAACCATCTTGGAAAGGAGAAAGTTAGCGGAACTTCCTGCTCACACTATCTTCAGGTGTGTCCAGCTTCACGATGCTTGCAACTGTCAACAATTTGGTTGAAACCAGGTTAACCAACCGGGGCGTATGATATTCCATCTTTGATTCATGCAAACCAGTGCCTGGGGCCATTAATGCCTCCAAGTCAAAGTTGACAGTTTGGGCGACTTCTCAAGGGCAGAAATGGGGTCTCTACTGAAACCTTCACCTCCAAGCAGCTCCGCCTGTGTGTGCCCTACACACCCTTGTTGATTTGTTTCTCTCGTATCGGGGTGGGTCTCTGCTTGACAACTGGGGGCCACATTTAGCCAAGCAGCTGCCCACTGGTGTCTAAAGCCTCCTATTCACAACTCTGGCAGCATCTCAAAGGATTTATTATTATCATCCCATGATTTCATTATTATTATTATCGCCCTTATGAAATGTAGTAGCTGAGCCCACTACAAAGCATGAAGCCCATGTTCTACATGGGACAATCTGTTTTCTGCATTCCCGTCACCATGAGGGATTCCCCCTCTCTCCCCCACCCCCAATTTCTGCTCACTATTGGAGGGGCTCTAGGCCGTTGTCTGCAGCCATGAAGAAGTCATCCTGAGGAGTCCCTCCACCATCACTGCTTTGTCCCGGGGTCACCTTGGTTGGGAAAAGGCCCTTTGAGGGGCTGCTTAACAACAGGAGCCAATTGACCATATGATACAAAGAGCACAGAGCTGGTCAGAGGATGCCATTTGGTGAATGAGGGCAAGTCTCTTTGCCAACTTGGGCCTTAGATTCCTTGTATCTTTTTTTTCCTTTTTTTTAACTGAAGTATAGTAAATTTACAATATTATATTATTTTCCAGTATACAGCAAAGTGATTCAGATCTATAGATGTGTGTGTATATATATATATATAAAATACATTTACATGTTGTTGTTGCTTGGTTGCTCAGTCATGTCCAACTCTTTTGTGACCCCATGGGCTGTAGACCACCAGGCTCCACTGTCCATAAGATTCCCCAGGCAAGAATCCTGGAGTGGGTTGCCATTTTCTTCTCCCGGAGATCTTCTTGACCCAGGGATCGAAACCCGTATCTCTTGCATTGGCAGGCAGATTCTTCACCACTAAGCCACCTAGGACAACCTACATTTACATATATATGTATGTATACATACATACATATATATGTATATGTATACATACATACATATATATGTATATATTCTTTTTCAGGTTCTTTTCCAATATAGACTATCACAAGATGCTGATTATACTTCCCTGTGCTATAGGATTCCTCACATATTAAATGAAATGACAAAATGAGATAATTAATCTTGAGGATAATTTTGCTCAGACCAGCTCTAGATTTACCCTTTCCCTGGATTCTGGAGATTTCCACAGGGAAGAGCACCTCACCAGAAAAGAGCTCAGGAGAAGAGCCTCCCACTCCTCATTACTGTTTCTACCTCACCCATCAATTTGCCTTGTTAAAAACCAGCCTGGTTTATATAACTGAATCACTGGCCTGTACACCAGAAACTACCACAGCACTGTAAATCAACCGTGTGTGTGTGCTCAGTTGCTGAGTCATGTCAAGCTCTTTTGCAATCCCATGGACTATAGCCCACCAGGCTCCTCTGTCCATGGGATTTTCCAGGCAAGAATTCTGGAGTGGGTTGCCATTTCCTACTCAAGGGGATCTTCCTGACCTTGGGATCAAAACTGCATTGGCAAGCAGATTCTTTACCACTGAGCCACCTAGGAAGCCATTATGCTTCAATACAAAATAAAAATAAATAAATAAAATTTTAAAACCAATCTGGTTTAAATGATTGTTTAGGGAAAGCAAAGTAGCTTTTTACCAGGGAGATAAAAATTCCTAACCTAAGGTTTAAAAAAAATAAATGTATTGGGAGTCCTAAGATTTGGATTTCAGAATAGCTTTTTTCATTAACTAGCTGTCTAGCCCTCATTAAGACCCTTCTTGGTATCTCTGATGGCTCATCTTCCAAATTCAAATATATATACCTGACTTACCTGTTCCAAGCAGTCTTTGAGGCTCACAAGAAAATGTGACTTGAAAATGTGAAGTATAACCATCTATCCTGATAAATCATTCAGTTAAGTTCATTTCCCTCTTTTGGTGCTCGATAAATCTCAGAAGAGCTAAAAGATTTATACAACATTAAAAAAATGCTTACCTTCCATTGGCAGGTGGCTGATGAGTTTAAATTTGTTGTAAAGTGCCACTGTATTTTTAGGAGCCCACTGTATGCCTTATATTGTGCTGGAGTCAAGAGAAGAAGTCAAAATAAATGTAAAATTGACCTCGAGGCATATACAGCCTTGTAAATTCAACACTTGTACACATACAAAAAAATGTGAAACAAATTTTAAAACAGTATAATGACACATTAAATTGTATATAGGCCTGAGCTTCCTTGGGACAGTGTCTGAGAATCTGCCTGACAATGCCGGAGACACAGGTTCAACCCCTGGTACGGGAAGATCCCACATGCCACAATTAAGCCTGTGAACCACAACTACTGAACCAGTGCTCTAGAGCCCGCCTGCTGAGGCTATTGAGCCCTCTCTCGAGGGCCCTTGAGCCACAATTATTGAGCTGAAATCTGAGCACCCTAGAGCCCGTGCTCTGCAAGACAAACCAGTGCTATCCCACACATTGCAACCAAGAGTAGCCCCCACTCACAGTAGCTAGAGAAAGCCCACACACAGCCACAGAGACCTAGCATAGCCAAAAATAAAATCAATTAATTAATTTTTAAAAATTAAGTATATATAACCCTATAACAAATGCATAATCCAACCAAGTTGGGATCTGAGCCTTTAGCGAGGGGAAAGATTGATGTTAAATGGCAACCCACTCCAGCACTCTTGCCTGGAAAATCCCGTGGACAGAGGAGCCTGGTAAGCTGCAGTCCCTGGGGTCGCTGCGAGTCGGACACGACTGAGCGGCTTCGCTTTCACTTTTCACTTTCATGCATTGGAGAAGGAAATGGCAACCCACTCCAGTGTTCTTGCCTGGAGATAAATAAGATTAAGCACCTATTAAGGTGTGGGTTGGCTAAAAGAACTCTTTTTTAGAAATAAAAATCTCCCACTATGAGTATATGGGCTCTGTGTCCAAGACTGCACTGCAGGCTGACCCTTTACAAAGTCCTGGATCTGGCCACAGGTTAATCAGGATTTCCTGAGCATTCTCTGTTCATATCTGCTTCCAGGCATCTGCTCAAGTGTTCAGTCACCTCGAAAGTCCCTCCCTCATCTCTCCAGGTATGTCAGCCCCCCTACCTTCAGACCCAGGTGAAACCCAACATCCTCCAGGAAGCTTTCCCAACCTGGCCCCCACTCATCATTCCTTGTTTCTGAATGCCTATAGCACTATTCACTGTACTATCAGTTTGCAATTATCATATTTTTCATATACTTATTTTTCCAGATACACGTCCTATCCTCAAAAGAAACTGTTAAGTCTCTCAAGTCAGGGAATGTAGACGTTTGTTTATGATTCCAGTGCCTTCTATGTTACACTGCAATTTGGCAGGCACTACCCCTAAACATGGGGCTTCCCAGGTGGCGCTAGTGGTAAAGAATCTGCCTGCCAGTGCAGGAGACACAAGAGACAAGCGACGTGGGTTCAACCTCTGGGCCTGGAAGATCCCCTGGAGTAGGAAATGGCAACCCACTCCAGTATTCTTGCCTGGAGAATCCCATGGGCAGAGGAGTCTGGTGGGCTACAGTCCATGGGGTCGCAGAGTCTGACATGACCGAGCGACTGAGAACGTACACAAACATACACACACACACACAGAGACATACTAAATATACATAACTCAGCATCTTTTCACATCCCCAGCTAGCCACGATTTCCATAAGTCCACTAAAAACACTCTGGTTTGAAAAGTGGCCAAAATTGAGACAAGCTAAAAGGACTGTATCTGAGGTGTTACATATTAGTGAAGTGAAAGTCGCTCAGTCATGTCTGACTCTTTGCAACCCTATGGACTGTAGCCTGCTAGACTCCTCTGTCCATAGAATTCTCCAGGCCAGAATACTGGAGTGGTTTGCCATTACCTCCTGTGGGGGATCTTCCCAATCCAGGGATCGAACCCAGTTTTCCTGCATTGTAGGTGGACTCTTTACCATCTGAGCTACCAAAAAAGCTATATATTAACATCACTTCAAAGAAACCTAGTGCTGAGAGATGGAGATTCATTCACTTGAAATAAATTTCTGTTCTGTACTCTTGAAAATAATAGATGCATCATTTCAGTGTATTCCATAAACGGAAGCATAACTATAGACTGGTCTGTGTGAGAAGGGTTTAGCGAAGGGCATTTCTCCTTGCGAGGGGACAGCTGAAGAGGTGTCATTTAACAGCTTTCAGAGGCCCGTCACTGCAGTGATTGAGGTGGACAGAAGGCATGGACATGACCAAGGCCCTTAAAAGACACAAACAGGTGGGAGAGCGTGCTGGGGGTGGGCGGAGGGCTGGAGGGTACAAAAGGCAGAGGCTGGCCTTCTGAGGGCAGAGACGGAGAAAGCAGAGAGCAAGCCTGCCCGGGGAACAGGTGGAGAGGGGGAGCAGAGCTAGGCAGGACCCAAGGAGAGGTAAAGTTAGGAAAAAAAAAAAACAGAACTAAAGGGATAAAGGACCAGTGAGCAGACCTGTCACAAATAAGGAGAAATGATGATTAAAAAGACATGCGTGAAGAGAAAAGGAGGAACCAGGAAAAGGGAACAAGTAAGGAGACAAAATAAGGAGTAAGCGCACAAGCTAAACGCTTAGAAAATCACCAGGCAGTTTGGCTGACCGGGAGAAGCGCCATAGCCAGACTCAAAAGGGAACCATCAGAAAGACAGAGGCAGATGATTTAAGTAGCCAGCTCCTGAGGTAAAAATGAAAAATAAATAAATAAATAAAATAGAAGATGGAAAAGGTGAGAAGCAGAAGAGGGAAAACCCAGAGGAGACACTGGCCCAGAAACCTTTTTAACTTTCTGTAAGAATCTTCAAGGCCCCAAACTAGGCCAAGATTCTGACTGACATTTCTGAGCTCACCAGCTGCTGTTTCCTTGAGAGAATTCTGACAGGAAGGCATAGAAATGCAAGCCAACACTGCTAGCTCTGGAAAAAAAAAAAAAAAAAAAATCCATGCTCCAAACACCTCCACGGGGCTGGAGCCTGCCAGGGAAGAAGGCGCACAGAGGAGGGACCCGCCGGCAACTTTTCCCCAGGTAGGTACAGAGCTGCTCCCGCGGGTGGGGGGGTAGGGGGAGGGCTTTCTCCTCTAACTGTCCTCTGGCCGTTCCTGCCTGGCCCATCTGCCTTTCTCTCTTTGTGCATTTTGGGGAAGCCCTGCGGGCAGCCTGCTTCTGTCATCTGAAGCCAGTTCCACGGTGTCTCCAGAAGCAGGTGAAGCTTCACGTCTGCATCCCACAGGGGCGGGGGAGGACATCGCTGGAATCCAGCTCCATCAGGCAGAGCCAGGCCAGGGGAATTGGAGGGGAGAAATCGCCCCAGCCCGCATGATTGGTGTGTGGGAGTGCCTTGTCGGCTGGGTCCCAACAGCGAACCCGATTCTGTGTGCTGGGGCTTGAAGCAAAAGCAGAAGGGAAGGAGGGTGGGTGGAAAAGACAGAGAGTTAATGAAGACGGTAGAGATTTCACAGTCGCCTAGGGGCTGCTCCATGGCCTAAAGAAGAGATAGGGTTGCGGAAGGGATGGACGTGACTCGGACAGCACGTGACCTTGAACTGGCCTCTTGCCTTTCAGTGCCTTGGTTATTTTGAATGTATGTTGAAATGTTCTTCAAAGCAATGCAAAGGCATTTAGTTCTAATCTGTCTTGTATCTCAAATAATCGCTGAATGGGAGCATTTTCTTCCGATGACCCCACAGATGTCCCCACTAAGACGATATGAAGTGTTACATCTTATTAAAAAACTGAGAAGTCCCTTAGCAATGTACTTCTTTGGAAAACTAGGACAAGAACCAGATTCTCTAATGTGTTCCCTGGATCTTAAGCAATTCTTGATCCTCACTCAATTTAACAGGTGCACATTTTTAAAAAATTTTTTAAAAAAGAGAGATTTTGGAGCTACAGAGTTTTATCAATATTCTGTATTATCATGCGGTATTATCATTATGATCCCTCTGCAAGTACAATGTGAGGTCATATATCAGTGGATCCTCTGCTGAGATAGCTTCTCGAGAAAAATGTCCACCTCATTCTATATCCATTCTTCAGCAAACCCCATTTGAAGTTTATTCGTAAGAATTGGGAGCCAAAGAAATGGCCCCCAGTTGTGTACAACCCCTCAAGCTGAAAACTCTTTTAGTCACTTAGTAACTTCATAGACTGGGCTTCTGTCTTTGGACTGTTGCGTGTCTCTCTGCACCCTCACTGGTGAAAGCTCCTACAACCGCACCCCTGGACGGAGCTCACGCCTTCCTGACTTCTGTATGGTTTTACTCCTCGTCCCTCACCTCCTCATTTTTAGAAAGTTCGGAATGTAAGGGCTGATTCTTTGCCCTTGAATTGTTCAAACACTATTGAACTACAGCAGGGGCTCCCCCAAGTGTGGTTCCCAGACCAGCGGCATCAGAATTACCCAGGAGCCTGTTAAAGATGCCAAGTCTTGGGTCCCACTCCAGGTCTACTGCTTCCCAGGCATAGCTCAGCTGGTAAAGAGTCTGCCTGTAATGTGGAAGACCTGGGTTCTATCCTTGGGTCGGGAAGATCCCCTGGAGAAGGGATAGGCCACTCATTCCAGTGTTATTGGGCTTCCCTGGTAGCTCAGACAGTAAAAAGTCTGCCTGCAATGTGGGAGACCTGGGTTGGGAAGATCCGCTGGAGAAGGGAAAGACTACCCACTCCAGGATTCTGGCCTGGAGAATTCCATGGACTGTATAGTCCATGGGGTCACAAAGAGTCAGACAAGACTGAGCAACTTTCACTTTCTTTCACTTCCAGACCTACTGAGTGGGGCCGGCATTCTGTGCCTTTGCACAGTCCCCTCCAGGGGACTTTGTTAAGCCAAATTCGAAGCTTAAGGTTTTTTAAAGTGCTCTTTCCTTAACACAGAACTCAGGTCTCCCTACAGACAGGACTCTGGTCGCCTACAGCGCTATCTCTTCTAAAAGACACCCCTCCACACACAACCATCTCTCAATCACTGCCTTGGGTCCTTCATCGGCAAAATAGGAATATTTACTAAAAGTTGCTTGTTACAGTGCTGAGAACACTTACATGGTAAGAGTAGCAGTGGTGATGGTTTTATCTCCTCCACCCTTATTGAGCAAAAGGCCTTCACTGAGTGGTGTGGGGAATCAAAAACAAAGCTGTCAGGTCCTGGACCTTTTTGTGTGGATATGTGTGCATTACAGTTACCCGGGGAATCCAACAGTAGGGTGAGATGTGATGCACGCCCAGTGACAGGTGCAAACAATAGAAACGAAGAGGGGAAACTGGGAGAAAACTTTGTGGAGCAAGTATCTTTGGAACTGAGATTTGAGAGAAACTTTAACTAGTGAAGATAAGCAAAGGGAAAAGAACATTCCAGGTAGAAGCTGAGATGCAGGAACATGGGAAAGATAAGACGTCAGTGGCCAGGTGTGGACCACAGTGCCTGCTCCTCTTCCTGCTAGCAATATGTTCACTCTTCACATGGTAGAAAGAGGTCACCCATTTGTCGTCATGTCTGCAAGAAATTCTTCCTTAAATCCAAACTAAATAATTTTCCTTGGATGGCTGTCAAATCAGTCCTTTCCAGTATTAAATGATTTCATTACTTTAGTATCTATTTCTCTCTTATTTATTATTAGGTCCCTGTTTTTCAAAGTCTTCTGCCCACTGGCAGCAGAATCAATTGAGAACGGTTACAAAAATCCTGATTCCTGAGCCCAGGCTCCCTGGCTTCTCTCAGGAGCTTTGGAGGGCAAGACAGAAGAATCTGCATTTTTAACAAGCTCCCTTATGATTCTAATGTTCTCTTAAGTTTGAAAGCAGCTCTCCCAGAGCTGTTCTTTCCCAAATTTGCAGAGCCTAGAAATCCCCTGGAAGAACCTTGTTTAAAATTCACATGGTAGAAAGAGGTCACCCATTTGTCGTCATGTCTGCAAGAAATTCTTCCTTAAATCCAAACTAAATAATTTTCCTTGGATGGCTGTCAAATCAGTCCTTTCCAGTACTAAATGATTTCATTACTTTAGTATCTACTTCTCTCTTTCTTATTTATTATTAGGTCCCTGTTTTTCAAAGTCTTCTGCCCACTTGCAGCAGAATCAATTGAGAACGTTTACAAAAATCCTGATTCCTGAGCCCAGGCTCCCTGGCTTCTCTCAGGAGCCTTGGAGGGCAAGACAGAAGAATCTGCATTTTTAACAAGCTCCCTTATGATTCTAATGTTCTCTTAAGTTTGAAAGCAGCTCTCCCAGAGCTGTTCTTTCCCATATTTGCAAAGCCTAGAAATCCCCTGGAAGAACCTTGTTTAAAATGTGGATGCCGGGCCAGTCCCATGGAGATTCTGGCTCTGTGGCTCTGGGATGCCGGGAACAGGGGTTTTAATAGGTGCCTCTATGGCTCTAGGCTCAGATGAGGTTGGGATATACAGCACATGAAATGAATGTGTGCTTTGGGTCAAAGAGGTCCTTCAAGTCCTAGGTTAGTTAGTTATCAGCTGTGTGACGTGGGTGTTTCCTAACCACTCCTTGCCTCCAGGTTATCTAACCTGCTGGAGTGAGTTTCATCCTGTGTAATGAAAGGTACTTCACAGAATGGCTGGAAGCATAAAGAAGTGATTTAGCATCATGCTGGCTCTCTCTCCTCGTCCCCTTGCCCCAGCCTCCCCTGAAGTACCAGTTCAGCACTCCAGCTCTGATGAGAAACAGGGTAAGCACAGCAGTGATGGTGAAATGCCACCAAGAGAAGTGGCAGGGTGTCTACAGGGAGGGAAGATGGGTTTGGGAGCTGCCCTTGCTCTTGGCTGGCCCTGGGAAGCTAAAATCAGGCTCATGCCCACGATGGAATCAACATTCAGGACTGGCCAGTCCTCTAAAAATAGCAAGATGTCTGGCTGAGCCTTTGGAAAAACAAGGTTCTGTCTTCTCCACACATTAACCTAGGCTTGCCTTAAAAGGAGGGGCCACTGCTTTATTTCCTACCCCCTCAGCCAGATGATGGTAAGCCCCAAATAATTTGGCTTGCGCCTCGGTGAACTCCGGAATAGCTTCTGTTTCATGGCAGCCACCAGCACACCGGCAGTGATTCTGGTACAGAAGGTCACAAGAGCTCAGGCTCCCGGGTAGATGCATCTGCGTGGACTGTTCCTCCTGCAGACGCCAGAAGGATCCTAATCCCCATAAAAGCATCAGCTTTCAGGTTCTATTGTAAGAAACTGTTCAGGCCTTTCTATGGGGCTGAGAAGGGAGAGAGAAAACTAAGATGCTTCTACTCGAAATTCAGAGAGTGAGATGGGGGTGATTTTCCTGCAGTCTTGCTTTCTCTTCATCCAGCAAAGGGCTGACTAGGTAGGATCAGCCCTGTCATCAGAGGGCAAGGCCTTAAGATGGATAAGGGGACCGTCTGAGTATCTCACCATTCATGTCTTTTCCTCAAATTCTTGAAAACGAGACCGGAGCTCTGGATATTTAGAACCTCTATTGACTCTTGTCAGATATGGTACTGATGAATCCCCTTCCTTAACAAATCTTTTTCAGACATATGAAATTATTACAAATGGGATTTTTTATAATAAGGGAAACCAAAATTGTGAAAGATCTATTTTTTTTAAATATTTAAGCTTTCCCAAATATTTTAGAACCACCCCTTGGACAACTGTCATGTGAATGAAACTCTTTAAAATGGGTCAAACATAAGGACTTTCATGGAGTGGGTAATCTCTGTTGCCATATGAATATTAATTAATAAAGAATATATTGAATAGTAGTAACAAGAGTGATAGAGACCATTTATTAGACTTCTAATACTGGGTTCATGGCACTTTTCAGTTCAGTTCAGATCAGTCACTCAGTCGTGTCCAACTCTTTGAGACCCCATGAATCGCAGCATGCCAGGCCTCCCTGTCCATCACCAACTCCCAGAGTTTACTCAAACTCATGCCCATCGAGTCGGTGATGCCATCCAGCCATCTTATCCTCTGTCGTCCCCTTCTCCTCCTGCCCCCAATCCCTCCCCGCATAAGGGTCTTTTCCAATGAGTCAACTCTTCACATGAGG